GAATTTTTTTTTTGCTGAGATGAAGCTATAAGCTATATCTCTGAAAGTTTGAAATGGTTAATTGCCCTTGAGATTGAAGATCATACATCCAGAATCAAACGTCTAACTTTTATGTTGTCAGTGTGTGGTTTTCTTTATAGAGCTACAATATAAGCCTTTTGACTGCAATATCAATTAAGCTATTTTTGTCGAGGGTGGGCATTCTCTGCACTTACCTTCTCCATTTCTTAGAAAATAGGAGTACTTAGCTAGAAATAAAATGTAGTTAAGGAAAAGTAAAGTATGAAACGATATTCAAATAATTTGTGCTAATTAATTTGTTCTGTATAAAATAAATGGATTTCTCTCCATAAAGTTCAATTTAAAAGGATCAGGCAGCAGATCAAGATTACCATAGGTTGACTAAGTGTTCAGGTTTAAGGTTGAGATTGCTTCCTGGGTGTTGCAATGTGTCACAGATCAGATAAATGCATACTACAAGTGATTGTATCTAGGCAGATTTGATTGAAGCACGCTGAATTCCAGACTGCCAAATCACCTGTTACTATAACTCCTGTTGTAACAAACCTCTGATCCAAGAGTTTCTTTCTTTTTTTTCATTCTTCCCTTTAGAGAGCCAATCATAAATAAATGTCACCAGCATTGCTATATAGTACGGAAATCTCAGTATTGTAATCCAAAATGTATTTATTGGCTTAAAGTTGATTGATTTACTGAACTAATGAATGCCTGAGCTGTGGCATGAAATGGTTTTGAATTGTGTAAATATAAATTAGCTTGTTTGTTAGAATTTCTTATCCAAGCATAATATTTTTTGAGCAACTAAATTTTATTTCATTACTATTAAACTGTTACAGTCATTACTGTACAAATATGCACATTAGAAATATAAAAAATTCATCTGCTAAGATAACTAGTTGGTTTGAATATGTTTATAATAATTCTGAAAGTGTTAATGTTGGGGACTGCATTAGGCTCCACTAGATCCGATAGTGTGATGCACTCTTAGAAAAGAGGAATCTCAATGTGACATTCCAATGAAGTTAGACATGTCTTGCCTGAGCTTCTGGTACTCTTAGTAATTATACCTAATTAGGCAATATAATTCGAAATGGATGCTATCACACAATAAACTACATCTTGTTGTTAAGGTTCATTAGTGGTTCATCCTTTTAAAAGAGGAGATTGGATGATTGGTGACAGCACTGTAGCCAACCATTAGTTGGTCATAGTTGGTTCTGCATAAAACAGGATACGTTGTATATTACAGTGGAACACCAAATACATTGAACAGAATGCCAAACAGCTTTTCTCTGTTATGCTGATCAAAAAATTTCGCCTACTGGTGGAGTGCAAGATACCGAATCATGCGTAACTTAAACCAAGTTGAATTAACAAACAATTATAACTAATGAAAATGCATTGAAAATCTGTTTTCTCTAAAAGTCATAGAGGAACTGAATTAAATAAATTCTTGAGAGTATAAAACTTAAACAATATTAAAAGGAGATTCAAGCTGAAGGTCTTAGTCTTGCACTCATCACATGTATGAGGCACTTGTGGTATGCATTTATCTGATCTCTGACACATTGCAACACCCAGGAAGCATGTACAACCTTAAACCTGAACACTTAGTCAACCTCGGAAAAAAGAAGACGCACCATTTTATACAGCATGAGAAAAGGGTGCTGATTGGTTGGGCCACAACTGGGATGGAGGGGGCAACAAGAACAGTTAACTGTCAATCTTGATTCTCAGACCAGGCAGATGGATTTTGATTGGTCAGAGCATTGCCACGGGAATGCAACAAGAGTTTGATTTTTTTTTGCAAAACAATGTATGTATAAATTCCCTTTTACATGAAACAGGATCTTGGGTATTTATCTAGCTAGTAGCACACACAAATGCATTACCCTACGAGCCCAACGATGATCCTAAATTAGTTTCTGGTGTAACTTTGAGCATAGTATGGATTATTTAATAATTTTTTCCAATAGCAGAGTCACATCTAATGAAAGAGTTTGAACTCAGTGAAAACCTCTTCCTGTTTAATGCGGGGTAAGGGCACCACAACATTGAACTCATTGTACAAGTACAAATTAAAATAAAACAAAGAACTGCAGATGCTGGAGATTTGAAACAACCAAAAACAGAAATTGCTGGAGAGTCTCAGCAGGTATGGCAGCTTTTGTGGAGAGAAAACAGAGTTATCTTTTCAAGTCCTGAGTCCTGTTCTGAGGAAGGCTCATTGGACTCCAAACGTTGACCCTTCAAAGATGCTACCAGACCTGCTGAGTTTCTCCAGCACTTTATTGTTGTTTAAAAGAACAAACTCATTTTCCGAGAGAACATGTTCAGAGAGATTTATGACATGTTTACAAAGGTCCTCAACTGTGCTACCAAACCATTTCTGTTTAATTTATAGTGCAGGTGTGTTTTAAGTGAATATTGTTTATGGTTTATTGTTTATAGAACTGAATTAGTATGAGTTGTGCAATCTTGTGTAATAGGTGAAAAGTTGTGTTTTATGACTTATGTCCATGTTGTGATATTTGTTACAGAAGATTCTTATACGTTTGGTCTTGCACTTATTTAAGCACTTTGTCCTAAATAAATTCCACTCTGCATATTTAAACAGAACTGCATAGGCCCCCTGCTGTTTGCACTTCTGGTAACAGCAAGATTTGTTTCATAGCCAGCAGGGGGCAGCAGCATTGTTAATTGATGAGCTATCTTTTTTAATATGTGAGGGTATTTTTTTTTTATTTAAAAAAGTGTACATTTCCTGTTCTGAATTCCTGCAATGATTGTTACCTGTTTGCAAAGCTAAAATACATTTAAAAGCAGAAATAGTTCACTTATGATGTTTATTACTTTGGAATTTAGGAGATCCATACTGCTTTAAAATATTATAAATAACTGACTAATGCCAAATATGTTTTTTTTCCAGAAAAGACCCTCTTAATATGTTCCTGCCCTATAACACATTTATTAACTTTACCACAAATATGTGCAGTGTTATTGCTTCCATTTGTCCAATTACACATTTCTGGCATGCTTTATTTAATTGTTTGGAACCATATCAATCAGGTTTGGGAATGTTGTCAACAGTATAGCAGTATATTTTATAACTTAAAATACTGTTAAAATCACGTGTATGTAGCCCAGCTTTGCCTTGATAACGTTCAGTATAATTGTACAGTGTATCTGTCACCCAATTAAAAATTGCTGCGGCAAACAATATGTAGGAGTTCAATGTAGTGGTGAATATCTTTACTTCCTGTGTGACACCATCATTTCCGGCCTTAAGTGTATGTAAAAGCTATAAATTAAAACTATTATCTCTCATATAATAGTAAATAAATAGTATGTTTATTATAAATTCTGCTGTCCACTTTTAGCAGAAGTGTTAATCCAGTTTTTTTAACAGTCACTTAAAATTGTGGAGAGAGATAATTGCTGTGAGCATCCTAAGCATTCATATAGAAACACAACTCACAGTGGCTTATATGTGCCATAATGGACTCTGTAGTGGTCCTCCCATCTGAGGTACCATTTTTGGGGGCCTTGACACTAACATGTGGATACAACCTTCGCATTAGTAAACCAATTCAGCTATACTTTTATAATGTGGTAGTATCTGAATTGATTGACTAAATGATAGCTTTGCAGTTCACTACTGTTACCTTTGGTTTTATGTAACATATCAAGCTTTAATTATCTTCATTATTGTCATTCTTTTTTTTGCTTCTCCCCCAGTAGATAATGATTTATTGAGCAGTTACAGAATGATGGATGTCATAGATTGAAAGATATCAATAAAAATTTAAAAGTAATAATTGTTAAAGAACTCCATAAAGATCAATAAATTTTGAAGAGAAATTTTAACTTTCAGCAAATGGCCAAATGGCACGCCAAGAATTCATATTTTAAAGCTTTTACTGAAACAAATAACCCATAGAAATTATTGACTAAATACTATTTACTGTTTATAGACACATATACTTTAAACTACAGAATAGATCCCATACTTCACTTTAACCAGAGCTGAAAAGCTCCCACTGCAGATATTTTACACTGTCCCTGAAGTGGACGCTTCATCCTCCATAAATAAGTCTGAATCATTCTCAACTCCTGATTTTTTAAATTCCTATTTAATTCCCCAGTTGAGTATTTTACAATCCCAAAACTGACTACCACTGTGAGGATTATGTTGTGGATTCTTTCCTTCTAGTTCCTAGATGCTAGTGAATCTACCAGCTTTCTTTAATTCCTTCAAAACTTGAGCTTCAATCTGGACATGAGTTTAACAATGTGACCCCATGTTCTGCAAGGTGAAATACAGAATCAGCATTTTCTGTGCCTACCTGATCATTTCTGTCTCTTGCTGTCTACTTCTCAGATGAACACACAGAACAAAAAATGTAAACTATTCCCACTTGTAATATTCATGGATTTATAGGGACGCCTGTGACTTCATATCAAAAATGCACCCTTTACCCCATGGCAACAGGAAACACATTAGCTTTGTATTTAAGTAGAACTATTTGGCTAACTTCAATCCTAACTCCTTTTCGTCTTAAAAATAGAAGGATAGTTTACAGCACTGCTGTTCACAGCTCAGTATCTGTAAGAGCTTTTCAGGACTTCAGAAGACTCTTGGCCTGTGGTCATTGTCACTGAGCATTAGTACCTTATGCTCAGTAAAACAATCTGAATTTTGCTTTTGATCTCTAACAATTAAACTACCCATGCTTATTATCAGGCAAACTTCAGAGGATATTACATGAGCCCCTGAATTTACATTTGATTCAAATGTACAATACCAAAATCTTATAATCTTAAACTATACAGTAATATCCTAAAACGTATCTTATAAACTCCATAATGTTAACATAACGTTGCAAAAAGTTTTGTTGATTTATGTTAAACTAACTAATCTTTGCCTTCACTTTACAGTTGCATATATTGTACTTATATTTTAAATTTTTGTTCCGCAGTGTATTAGAGGAAGGAAAGCATCTCTGGAGGAGCTACAGGTCGTCCATTCGGAGCAGCATGCATTACTTTATGGCACAAACCCACTGAACAGACAGAAGCTTGATAGTAAGAAACTGCTAGGTATAGCGCAGTTCACTCCTCTTTACCTTTTGATGCAGCCTTGCAGGAATAATCACTATTTCCCAGCCATTAGTTTGGTAGTGATATAACAACTGTAAATACTGAAATAAGAGAAGCATTCCAAAATCATTTTTTTATCTTTCTGTCACAATATTTTCAATGCTTAACCAGTAACAACAGCATTCTATTTAAAAGTATTTAGTTCTCTAATTTGCCTGTTTGTTTTAAAGGGTTTTTGAAGAGCTACCTGCACTTAATAGATGTTCTTGTTATGCATGTCACGTTGTCCTTTCTTAGTTTAAATGTAATCCAGCTGGGTTGCGTGCAGGAGTATGATCTCCCTATGGGGAACTGAATCCTTAACCCTTTAACCAGCATTCTCTCAGGGTTGAGAAATCTCAGTTCGTATATTGTTTCTGAAACAATCAGTAAACTTGCAGTAATAAAGCAATGTTGTATGTTTTTATGTTGTTTAAAAATTGATTCTAAATTTAAAACCATAATTTTAACTAGGATGTTACAAACTCTAAATGCTGTTCTGTCATTTTCCCATAAGACTTTTTCCATTTCAGTTTTCTTACTGAATTCTTTTTTTTTCATTATTTCACTTATAATTTTACTTTCTCTTCAAAACCTTTAAAAGTCCTTCAGGCCTCATGTAGTCCAGCTCCATTTTGACAGTTGGCATAATTGCAAGGGAAGTTCACTGGGTTGTTTCCAGAGTTGAAAGTGTTGGCTTGTGAGGAGAGATTGAGTAGACTGGGACTGTACTCACTGGAATTTAGAAGAATTGAAAGGGGATCTTATAGAAACATACAAAGTTATGAAGGGAATAGATAAGATAGAAGCAGGAAGGTTTTTTCCACTGGCAGATGAAACCAGAGCTGGGAGAGCAGACTTAGGACTGAGTTGAGGAGGAACTTCTTCACCCAAAAGGTTGTGAACCTGTGGAATTCCCTACCCACTGAAGTAGTTGAGGCTACTTCATTGAATGTTTTTAAGGCAAAGATGTACTTTGAACAGTAAAGGAATTAAGGGTTATGGTGAGTGGGCAGGTAAGTGGATCTGACTCCATGAAAGATCAACCATGATCTTATAGTATGGCAGAGCAGGCTCGCAGGGCCAGATGACCTACCCCTGCACCTATTTCTTCTGTTCTTATAGGTTGCAAAAAATATAGTTGCTGTAAAAGCAGGTGTAAAATTTAGCCCCTCAGCCGGTCAGAAAAGCTTGACAGGACTAAAGGATTATTATCAGGTGAGTAAAAGTGTTTGTTGTCTTCAGAAGTTGTGTGCACCCAGGCAGTTTAATTCACCTATGGTGTTGTAAGCTATAAAGCAGCAACCTTTTTCCTAATTTAGATATGCTGAAAATATGGGACTTTTCAATCAAAATTGATCTGTTATTAAATTTATTTATTTGAGTTTAAATGATTTAAAATCTTTTTGAACACATTTATTGTATGCATAAATTGTTGAGTACTTCAGGGAATGGCCACTATACAGCAACAACAGCTTGCATTTATGTATGCCCATTAATACTGTGTTCCAAGCTGGTACCTAAGAGTACATGAAGCAATATTTGAGACCAAAGGTGATAGTAAGGCAGATGATTAAAAACCCTGTCTTAAGAAGTAGTTTTTAAGGAGGAAAGATAGGTGGACAGGCTTAAGGTGGGAATTGCAGAGTACAAGATTATGACAGCTGAAGGCACTACCACCAGTTTGGCAATGAAAATTAGGGATGTTGAAGAGGTCAGAATTAGACCAGTGCAAGTATTTCACATGACTGTCAAAATAGGGGTGAGGCTAGAGGGGGACTTGAGAACAAGAATTAGACTTTTAAAATCAACCTGTTGCTAAACTAGGAGTTAATATGAATCAGCAACCCCCAGTCATCATCATCATGTAAGATGGAGTTGAGGATCGATCTTCAGAACACTAAATTTAACAGTGCAGAAATTGGGAGAAAAGCCATTGCAGGTGATACTCTAGTATAAAACACAACTTAAATATCAGCTGGAGCGTTGTAACCAGTTCTGGGTGGCTCACTTTTGGAAGAATATCAGTGCGTCGGAGAAAGTTTAGAAGGGGTTTACGAGAATGAATCCACAGATGAGAAACTTCAGTTATGAAGATAGATTGAAGAAGTGAAGGCTAAGAGGAGATTGATAAAAGTTTTCAAAACCGTAAGAGTTTGGACAGAGTGGGTCGGGTGAAACTGTTCTCCCTCAAAAAAGGGTCAAGAGAAAGATATAAGGATGTCACCAGATATAAAGTAATTTGCAAAGAAATACTAATGTGATGTCAGTAGTAAGGGTCGAGAGTGCAATCCCTCAGAGTGTGATGGAGGCATATTCAATTAAAACATGCACAACAGCATTTAGTGAATATTTAAATATAAAAAATATTTGGCATTATAGGGAAAATGCAGGAGAATGATACTCAGTCATAATGTTTGTTCGGAGAACTGATGACACACAAAGCCAACAGCCTCTTTCTGCACCTTAACATTTCTGTGATTCTGAGCATTATAGATCTTGAGTCCCTTGTGTTACAAATAAAAATACCTGAGTCCATCTCTTTAGCTGCTGCCCTGGTTCTTCGTATTAGTAAAGTTTACAGATCCTGAAATCTAAGTGAACTTTGATTTTTTTCCCAAATCAAAGTCTTTTACCGATGCTTGTTTTTGCAAATGAGGTAGGGGAGAGAAGAGCTTCCAGTATTCATGCTGTAATTGGTCCATGTTGCTTTCTCTCTTATTTTCCCCCCTCAAAAGCTGCTGTTGATATACCATTCCTTTGCAGATTCGGGTGCCAGTGTCATTGTTTTATTTCAGACTGGATAGTTGTAGGCAACTTTTCATCTCTCAATACGTGCAGTTACCATGCAGGTGTGAATAAGAGGTGTAAATTTCTTGATGCCTCTTGGTTATAATAGTAATTTTAAGGCAGCCATTATAGGTCAGTTGTGTCTTTATTCAAAGCATATTTAGTGCATGGATGTATCAGCTATTAAAGTTAAATTATGAAAGTTGAATATTGATAGATGGCTTTTTTTTCAGGTTGTATTATCGCTGGCTTTCAAGATGCAGAGGAGCAAACATGGAGAAACAGTCCTTGCTGTTACTAGTCCATATTTCTTTCTCTGATCTGTGCAAAGGCTGTTTTCCTGAAATACAGTTCACATGTACATTCCCCTATCTGACATCATTATATTTTTCGAGCTAGATAATCTGCAGGCCCCCTCTATCATAATATGTGAAACTTGCAGAAATGTGCAAGCCAATAATAGGACGTAATGACTCAGCTTCAGTGCCTTTTAATAAGATGTGATTTTCAGCTCAGTCTGTCTTTGTTTATATGAGCTTGTCAGGTGATCACTGCAGCTATCTTTAGGCAGTACTTTTTTTAAAAAAACATTTTTGTCCATATATATTACAGGCATTAAAATCAGATGATGGAAGTTAAAAATCGATGGACCATATTTTACCACTATTGTGACAATAATGTTTCCATATGCAGATGTTTACATAAGGTTAACAGTACAGTACCAGATCATTCAACTCAAGTAACCCATGCGGGCGTTTATACCTCATGTGAACCTCCTCACATCTTATCTCATCTGAATCTGTTCTCAGGGCAATTCTTTGACTTCTTTAAATGGGTTTAAATTTTAACAAATCTTGGCAGTTAACTGTCAGTCATCATCTATCTGGTACATTCTCCATGGCAACATCTATACCAATCAGATTCCACTCACCGGTCTATCAGTACAGTCTTCTCATGTGATATAAAAAAGTTTGTCTTCTCTTTATATAGTATTTCTAACAAATTATGCTAACAAGTGTCTTTTTTTCCAGCAATACTAAAACATACCCATGCACTGGAAAATAGTCTTAAGTGTTCTGTGGGACTCCCAAAAGGTCTTCCTAGCAGTTCAAAACCTCCATGGCAGAACAACCATTTTTATCAAATTTCCAGTTTTTTTTCTCCTTCATCACCTATTACTTGTATCAAAAAGAGAATATTATAAAGATACATTTACAGTGTGTTGATTGTTGTAATTAAATGGAAAATTTTTAAAGAAAAATGTGTTTCTGTGATTCAGTAAAATCGTTTTTCAGTTCATTCTTCTGATGCTTAATTGTTACAGAGCCACTGTTTTTAAATGTGCAAATGCTGATAAGTGACATTTCTTTAATTGGTAGTTGACAAAAAAACTAGGGGCATCAGACCCTCTGCATCCACTGTCATTGAGACCCTATATAGATTATTTATAAGCATACAATAAGGAGTCATGCACTGTAGTTTTTCAGGAAATTGGGTTATTCCTGTTGTGGTAGGCCATAAAGAAAAAACACTTTGTTCCTTGCTCATATTGAAACAAGTGTTTAGGTTTGAATCCAGAATCTCCTGGAATGTTTAAACCATCTGTTTCATTACAATTCTTTTGAGTTTCTATCTTGATCTGAACTGTTTGTAGGCTATGACCCAGTTAGGTTCCAGTCATCAATTAAATAAATTGCAAGTAGGGAAGATGATTTCAAATATGCTAACACAGTGAATAAACTGTGAGGAACTGTTTCAGTGATAAAAGCTTTTGCAAGGGCCCAAGAGGCCAATAAAGGGGATTAACACAGCATTTGTAGGAATACACACCTTGCAGAGGTTCATTTGTACTTACTACAATAATTCCCATTATTGAGTTGTGATTACAGCATTTCTGCAAATATTGTAATTTATCTTGGTACTATGAACTAAAAGCTCTTTTTAAATATCGGTCCACAGGTTCCGTCACTCCAATGTTTGTTATGCTTCCTTGTGGCGGTCTTGGAGTAAGTCTTTTTTTCCCTTTTTAAAATTTGTAAATAATGTCTTATTTGTTCTTTCCATTTTAGCGACAACATAAATTGTTGCTTTGACTTCTACTCAGCACATAATTGAGAACAGATGTCCCCCTATAAACAGGAATTCAAGGTTTGCTGTACTAAGAATGTTGACTAAACCACAATTGGAATATGTTTGATTTGTTCAGGGAACAGATTCAGGGAAATTGAATGATGACTGAAGATGTACTCCTTACAGCAGGTACTTGCAAAGTTGCACAGAGGTGGTGGGATACATAGTGACTCCATAAATCCCTGATTCTACCACACAGCTTGATTCACTTTCTCAGCAGTCCAGTGTGGGGAATTGTTTTGCTGAAGCCAGCCTCATGGTGGTACAAAATTTGTCCTCCAGACATCTAACAGCCGGTTCAGACCAACAAAATTAGCTGCATGGGCACAGTTGTTTTCATGCCTCCCTTAGCCACAAATGATGTTTGGCAATGGAATGAAATAGAGGAAATCCGTTTTTTTCTTGTAAATTTTGATACAATTTGGATTCATCCTCAGTTTTTCACTGAATAACCGTTATTCATCTTTGACTGTATCGACAGTCTGTTTGACTATTGGAAACAGCACAGTTGATAATGTATCGTCATCACCAGCATCCACACATACACACTTTTTGGCAAGATGATTACTGATTTTAAAATCCCCTGTACGTGCCCCAGTTTGCTCTTTCCCAAATAAATGCTGCTGAAGCTCATTATAACATGTATATTATTGCCTCTGCTGAGTTAATATAAGTTAACACAGATCAGGGATCGTATCTGTGATACATGTAGCCCAGATGTTTCATGGATGTTTCACGTTATGCAATTACCGAGCACTTAAGAAACCTAGCTTGTTCTAAGATTCTGATTGAAATGCAACAATCTTGCTTTCTGCTAAATGTGTTGATCAAAACATTTTATAAATGTATGTGGCACTCCACTCCCTTCCCCTGTTTTATTGATTAGAATTGTAATGGCAATATTTTTGAAGACTAAATGTTTTGATGCAATGCGTTGTTTAGACTGGTTGAGATCAGTGATGTTCACGTCCCATGGTAGCAGTTTTTCTGTTTTGTTGAATCTACTTAGAATGCTGTCAACAGTTAAAAGAAACTAGCAATGTTTTTCAAGTTTTCATTTTAGAAAAGAGTTTCTTAATTTTGCTTCCACAAATAGTCTTCGTAATCAATATTTGACATGTTGGGTTGTTTTGTAGGGCAAGTGACTTGGAGATAGTAAAGGTGGCTTCATTTCTTTCTGAATTGTTAATGAAAGAACAGAATAGTGATACAATGTAAATTTGTTACAATAGTGTGAGTTTCTCAGAGCTAGTGTTTGAGTTCTGTTAATCTGCTCAATAAACAGAAGGATTGAAGGAAGCACAGAGACAGTACAAATAGCACTGTACTCGGTGTGCGTGTGAATGGAAGTGGGTTCAGCATGTGTTTTTATGTTGAATAGTTTACTCGCATACAGCTACATTGTGGTTTCACTTAACACCAGATCCTTGTTATCTACATGGCAAATAGTTCTTGACATTTTTTAGAGCTTTTGAATTCTTTTATTTAAGGCATAAGGCATAATAATCTTGATGAAATACAGATATTTTATGTCCAAATATTTAATAGGAATGGAACAAACAGATTCAAGTTTTTTTTATTTTCAGATTATTTAACAGTTACGCTGTACGAATACATGTACTTATTGACATATTTATGACTGGGCTTTCCAGTTCTGTTGACACAACCCGCAATTATGCTGCCTGTTCAAGTGAACTTGCTCACATCTGCCTCATGTTGGCCCTATCTACCTGTTTTCTGATAGTCTCTCCATTCTATCCGTTTTCCTTATCTATACCCAATCCTAGTTTCATAGCAGTGGAAAAAATCCGATCAGCTGAATTGTTGAGGCAGACCACACCCAAATAGCATCTCTGCCAGCCTCTGACCCTCATTCAAAGTCTGAATATGCAGTACAACTGTTTATCCCCTTAATTTAGTTGTGTCAATAAAATTGTGAAAATTGAGAAGTTATAAAACAAGACTATACTTCCAAAATAGCTCCTCATTTGTGAAACAGATTAATGTTTACTGACAGCAATATTCACACACCAGTTATGTTGTTCTGATACCTATATGGTGGTTTGCCTTAGAATATCTGCTGTAGCACCAGTTATATTAACTATTTAAAACAAGCAGTGTCCATGCAGAGGCTTTCCAAACCACACTTCCATTTTCCACCCTCTGATAGCTTAAGCTCATACTAAACTCCAGTTGGCCACTTCCTAATTAACAGCAGACTCTGATCACCTATTGCCTGAGTGCTCACTTGACTATTTTGGCTCCCAGTTTGGCATTGCTTCAACTTTAAAATTTACCTCCTTACTTTAAAATCTGCCCCTCCACATAGTCTATCCCCCTGAACTCTGAAAAGCTCTCCCTGAATGGCTCAGCCTCTCTATCTGTCTCTTCTCCTGTCTGGTGCTCTCATTAGCTGGGAAAGTAAGTTGCAATGAAGAAATAAGAAATTTACTAATGGATGTGGAAGATTATGTGAATGGGCTAAAATTTGGCAGATGGAGTTTAATGTGGATGAGTGTGAGGTTATCCATTTTAATTGGAAGAATAGAAAAGCAACTTGCTATCTAAATGGAGAGAAAATTGAAAATGCTGCAGTGCCAACAGCTCTGGTTGTAACAAAGTTAAATGCATGTACAGCAAATAATAAGGATAGCAAATAGAATTCTGGCATCGTATGCTAAAGGAATGGAGGAAACAAATAGCAAAGTGTTGTTGTAACTGTACAAGGCCCTAGTGAGACCACATCTGGAGTATTATGTACCATTTTGGTTCCCTTACTTGAGGAAGGATGTCATTGCATTGCAGGCAGTTCTGAGAAGTTTCACTAGATTAATTCCAGAGATGAAAGACTTGTCTTATGAGAAGAGATTGAGCAGTTTAGGCCTGTACTCACTAGAGTTTAGAAGAATGAGAGGTGATCTAATTGAGGTATACAAGATGCTAAAGGGAATTGATAAAGTAGATGTGAAGCAGGTAATCCCCTTTCTGGGCCAACCTTGAATGAAAGATTATACTTTTAGGTTGAAGGGTAACAGATTTAAAACAGAGATGAGGAGAAATTACTACTTTCAAGGTGTTGTGAATCTGCAGAGATCACAATCCCAGAGTGCAGTGGAGGCCAGGACACTGAATAAATTTAAGGAGACGGTAGACAAATTTTTAATTAGTAACTGGTTAAAGGGTTATGGGGAGCGGGCAGGAAAGTGGATTGAATCCAACATGAGATCAACTATGAATATAATAAATGGTGGAGCAGGCTTAAGGGCCTGAATTGCCGACTCCTCCTAGTTTTAAATTATTATGTTTCCCAATGAGGCAAACTGAGGCCTGACTTTGGGTCATTGTAATCAAATTTTTACAGTTACTTTTGAAAATAAAATTACAATATAATATATCATTATAGCACAAAAGGAGGCTACTCAACCCAGTGAGTGTATAACTTACAGTTCATTTTAGTTCAAAAAATTGTTGGTTTGAAACAAAAATATATCATCACATGAATGGTATTAGACTGGCTGCCATAAATAGCAAGTTTCCTCCATTGCATGACACTTCTGTTTGCATACAAATGCAACTTATTCCCTAGGATTTTGAATGTTGCATTTGATGTACCGTGTGTGTGTTGTTAACAAAGATGTTTGGTTATGGATCTCAAAGCATAGGTTGAAGTTTCATTTGATCTCCAGATTAAATCTCACATTTAAAATGCAGAATTATTGTTTGTGTTTATAATCACTTAGTGAGGTGGTGGGAAACAAAATTATCATAGTATCCAGTCAAAGCTGCCAGTATTGCATTCTACAATTAAATATCAGCAATATTATTCCTTGTTATTGCAAGCAAATCATTTACAATTTTTGGAATGCGCATTTACCAGACCAAGTTTTCAGATTTTATCTACTGGATTCTTGTTTCATACCCTTTTGGGAGGAATGTCACGCTGGATACCTAAACACTATGCAAACTATTTTGTACTGGTCTGATATACAGATAATTTTTATACAACCACTGTAATCAATTATTTATTAACTATATTTTAAAGAGAGCATTGTCCAAAACAAGTCAAAAGGACCAGTATTTTATGTAAGACCATTTAATAAGAGTTTTTTTTTATTGTTAGGTTGACAGTGATACAATTTGGAATGAGATCCACTCATCCAGTGCTGCACGCTTAGCAGTGGGCTGTGTAATTGAACTTGTTTTCAAAGTGGCAACTAAGGAATTAAAGGTAAGTCTTTTTCTTCATTGAAGTAATAACTGTCAAATGGGAAAAGGTAAATTCACTTGGATGTAGAAAATTATGCCGTTGAATCCAAGACAATGAATAAAAGCATTTACTAATTCTTAATAATAATGTTTTCCATAATCCAGTCTGAATTACTTTCACATCCTTTCATGTTCTTAATAATTTGGGATGTTTGTGTTAACTTACGGCTAAGTGGTAGCATTCTGTAACGGGGCCTTGTGGGTAGATATTTGTACACAATCCATGTTAACCCTATAGAGGAGGAAAAGGGAGTGCTGTCCTGTTGGAGATTGTTTGGATGAGCCATCAAACTAAAGCTCTGTCAGCCTCCTTAAGTGGGTGTGAAAGATTCCATGACACCATTCAAGAAGAACACTTGAGCTGCCCCCATTATCCTGCTAATGTTTATCCCTTGACCAGTGCCTAAAAACCAATTCTGGTCATGATCAAAACCAAAAGAACTGCGGATGCTGTAAATCAGGAATGAAAAATTGAAGTTGCTGGAAAAGCAGCTTCCAATATGGAACAAACTCTACCAGGCCTATGAGTGTTGATCCATATAATTCATTTTGTCCCGATGACATCAATCTTAAGGATTGTCACAAATCCGCCTGTATTATGAAATAAAAGTGAAAAATGATTGACTTAACTTGAGTTTATACAGCACCTTTCTTGTCTGAAGGACATCTCAAAATACTTCGCAGCCAATAAATACTTTTGAAGTGTAGTCACTGTAATGGAAAATTCTCTTTAGATGTAGAATCATAGAAAGATCCAGTGCAGAAGGAACCCATCAGGCCTGTCCTGTTTGTGCAATCATGCTCACCTCTGCTTTGAAGTTCTTCATCGACAGGTAGCTATACAACTGTCTTTTCAAATTATTTTTAAGAACCAGCTATCCCTACTTTTCCAGGTAGGTCCCACAAACTCTGAGGGGAAAAAAACAATGCCCTGCCTTCTAAATCTTGTCAGTGATTTTCAATGCATGAACTCTAGTTATTGACCAACTTGCCAGAGGGATTATTTTTTCCTCCTTGGATTTCTTTTCAAGCCAGAAGGATTATGCAACATTTTCTGAATCACAATAACTTGTACATAATATGATTGTGGCAAAGTAAAGTTACATTGCTAAATGGAAGACATTTCAGAAACCATTTATAAATAAGAAATCTACATCCTGCAATACATCAATTTTTTAAATACCCTGTTATTACTCTATGAGCTCAACTGTTGTGATTGTTTCTCTTTATATTCCTGAATGCATTTTAATAGTATATTTTATGCACCATCATTAAGTCCTACTAATTGCTCTATTGACATTATAGGGTAAATTAGTCTTGGCCAGTTGCCTAAAATGGGTGAATGTTAATTTTACGTCCCATTTTTGTCCATTAAAGCCCATTTCAGGATTCCCTGACAACTGAATAGCTAGCTAAACCACTTCAAAGGGCTATAACAAACAGTTGCCCACATTTGTGTAGCACTGAAGTTACATATAGGCCTGACCAGGTAAGCTTTGTTGCCACTTGTATTGATACCAGCTTTTTTTATTTAAGTATGTTCAAGTTATCAACCTGCTATGATTTGAACCTACAGTATTTGCATTATTAATACAGGCTTCTAGACTGTTAATCGTTAACAATTAATGACTGAATTTGAGGAATTTGGAAATATCTTCTATAACTTTGGTTAATTTGTAATAAATTCATTTTCGACAATGTGTACCATTTTTCTCTGAATTCTCACTTTAATTGGAAATTAAAACTTTGTAAATTGTGGTCCTGTTTTTGCTGAGGCACCAGACTCCACTCAACCATCTTTTCTCATAATTAAGCTGAAGCATTTTATCGACTCTTCTGTGCATTTAAATAGCTTAGATAATGGGAGTAATTATGTTTGAGACAAATTATTTTGTCCCTTATCTTGCTTGTTACCTCTCTTTTCCTGAAGAGACTCGCTTGCTGGGTTTACATGCATACCACTTACCCTCCAATGTATTGCCCAAATGGTTGATATTTACTGAAGCGGAGTGTACCAACCCTACTGTTCCTCCACTTAAAAGGGTCTAACTTAACTCCAATCAAATCTGCAAAGTTCTGCTCTCTTTTGCTGATCTCTTACTCATTGCCACAACCTATTGAAACATCAGCAGAGCGCAATATAAGTGGTAAAATCCATTATTTGGTGTTCTGCCCTGTAATTAACTGTCAGAGTTGATTGAAAGTACCAGTGCATCCGTGCAAATTGTACCTTGTACTGAATTATATAAATTATGGTGTTTTGCAGAATGGATTTGCAGTTGTAAGGCCTCCTGGACACCATGCAGAGGAGAGCACACCAATGTAAGTAACTGTTTAAGTCCTCCCTACTGAAAACAAAATTCTACTACTCACGTAATAGCACAGTGAAAATATATAGTCTATGAATTGCAACAGTTCAAGAACCTTGCTCAGCACCACCATCTTAAATGCAATTAGGGATGGGCATTAAATATGGGCCTCACCAGCGACGCCCAGATCCACAAACAAGATTTTAAAAATAGTCACCTGCTTTTCTGGAGTAGTTTGTATGTAATTGATAACATATGAGGTTCAGAACAAAAGCTGGTGAAAACTTGTCCCTACCGTGCTTTTCCCTCTGATGATAAATGAATGAAAGAATGCAGATGATTAGAATCAGGAACATTTTCTATTAACCATTTCCCTTTTTTTCTCCTCTTCCCCACTTCTCTTATCTCCAGGGGATTCTGCTACTTCAATTCTGTGGCCATTGCTACTAAACTCCTACAGCAGAGGTTGAATGTCAGCAAAATCCTTATAGTGGACTGGGTGAGTAATCCAACCAAAGCAAGGCGAACATTAGGGAAGAGTTAATTTCTTATTTTGCTTTCCAACCTTTTTTTAATTTAAATCCATTACTGCAGTGTATTCTTATTTAGGGTCATGTCTTGTTGTTCAAGTATGTTAATCTCGTTCAATCACTTCAGTGATTTCTGAAGAAGGGTCTAGGCCCGAAACATCAGCCTTCCTGATCCTCTGATGCTGCTTGGCCTGCTGTGTTCATCCAGCTCTACACCTTATTATCTCAATCACTTTAGTTGCAGCTTTTAAAAGATTTTACTGTTTCAGTTTCTAATTAATGCTAATCTTCTATTGAGTTCTGAACATTTTATGTTTATACTGTAATGAACTGTGAGCAAACTATATGACAGATTTCAATTTGAGCATGCCTTCCCTGGATAGAATAGTGGAACAGTGAAGAACTATAATTTCTGAGGTGAGAAATGATGAGGGAAAGAAATACGAGACCGTAAGATATAGAAGCAGAAGCAGCCATTCAGTCCATTGAGTCTGCTCAGCTATTCAATGAGATCATAGCTGATTTGATAATCCTCAACTCCATTTTCCTGTCTATCACTATAACCCTTGATCCCCTTACTGATTAAAAACCTGTCTATCTCAGCCTTGAAATATACTTAATGATCCAAACTCAACAACACTCTGTGGTAAATAATTTCAAAGATTCACTACCCCTAACAGAAGAAATTCCTCCTCATCCCCTGAATGAAATGTGCAACCCCTTATTCTGAGCTAATGTCCTCTGGTGCCGGATTCTCCCACAAGAGGAAATAACCTTTCTATATTTGCCCTGTCAAGTCCTGTAAGGATGTTGTATGTGTCAATAAGATCACCTCTCATTCTTCTAGATTCCAATGAGTACAGGCCCACCTTACTCATTCTCTTCTCCTAAAGCAGTCCCTCCATACCTGGTATCAGCCTCGTGAACTTCCTCTGCATTGTCTTCAATGTCATTATAATTTTTTGTTCGATAAGAAGCCCAAAACTATTCACAGTATTCCAGCTGTATTCTGACCAGTACAGTTTTAGTTTTAGCATAATCTATACTTCTAGTATAATCTCCCTACTTTTATACCCCATTCCCACTGAAATAAACGCCAGCATTCCACTTGCCTTCCCTATTGCCCGCTGACGTTGGATGCTAAGTCTTTCTGAATCATGATCATGGTTATGGTCGAGGCCTCTCAAATCCCTCTGTTCTGTTGCTTTCTGCAGTTTTTCTCCATTTAAATAATATTCAGCTCCTCTATTTGTCCTGCCAAAATGCATGACCTCCCATTATCCCAAATTATATTCCATCTGCCAAGTTTTTGCCTACTTGCTTCACCTGTCTATATGCCTCTGCAAACTCTTTGTCTCATCCCCACCACTTGTCTTTCCAACTATTTTTGTGTCATTTGTAAATTTGGCTATGGTACATTCACTTAAAAAGGAAGTGAACATACTTGAGTGTTGCTGCCTCTTTCCCCCATATGTTCCATTGCCCAGCCACACACACGTTTACTGCAGACAGGGCAAGAGATGGATTTGTGGCTTAGGCCAGCAGCTATGCCTGATGGTGTTAGAGCCATAGTTGAAGTGAATGACAAAGGAAAGATGGGAAGAAGCACAACTAGAAAATTAGTGTTTTTGTGTTCAATTCCTTATTTGGCTTTGTAACTGACTTTGTAACTCTGATTCTATTTATTTTAAAAAAAATCAAAATGAATTGTAAGTCATCAATTAATTGTTAATTAATTAATTGTAATAAACATACATTTTCACCTTCAGGTTAGGCAGCATCTGTAAAGAGAAACAGTTAATGTTTCACATTATCAGTTTTGATGAAAGGTTGTCTTGACCTGAAATATTAACACTGTTTCTCTCCATAGATATACTGTCTGACATGCTGAACTTTTCTAGCATGTAATGTTTTTAATTCAGATTTCTAGCAACCACATATTTTCTTTTGCATTTTCACCTTAACCCCAGGGTGTTATTCTAGTAAAGCCCATTGTAGAACTCACCAATTTTAATCACATTGATCTCAACAAGTGGCAATTCACTCCACCCGATCACCCCAGGTGAAATTTGCTGCCATAGTCATACCATTTTTTCATTAATTCTTAAGTGAGATTATGCAAGTTAAAATTGAATTCATATATGTCGAGTCAAGTTTACTGGTGAAATGTGCAATTGATGATAAACGTAGAATTACTTAGATTATTTGGGCAATTGTAACGAACAATGGTTGAACACATGCAAACTTTTAAAATAATGCTGTAATGTCAATTATGTCAAGTTCTTATTTCTCTAAAATGTTTTACCTTGTTTGATATTGTAGTGGTGACTGCTCGTACTTGTACTGTATTGTGTTAATGCATTGTTTCATTGTAGAGCCTCAGAACACTTGTATGTGTCCACACTTTACCACATGATGAATATTAGATTTACTCAGGCTGCATGTGTACACAAATCTGCAAGAGAAAAGGATTTTTGTTTCGAAGATCACCCTAGATAGTTCAGAAGCAGTTTTACCAGAGACCAAGGGCATGGTCTTTGGGTTGTATTCTATCAGCAATGTAATAGATTGGAGAAAACAATTAGGAAGTAAGATCCATGTTTAAATTAAATGAATGTTTTGTATTGTCTGTTTAGTACACCTGTTGAGCTAGCCATCCATTACGAAGAAATGGTGTTGGAGCATTCTGCAATAAAATTATACAGCATAGAAACAGATCCTTCAGTCCAACTTGTCCATGTCAACCAAGTTTTCCAAACTAATCTAGCCCCATTTGCCTGTGTTTGGCCCATATCTCTGTAAGTGTTTCCCTTTCATGTATCTGTCCAAATGTCTTTTAAATGTTGTAATTGTACCTGCATCTGCCACTTCCTGTGGCCGTTCATTCCACATGTGAACCACCCTCTGTGTGAAAAAAGTTGCCCCTCATGTCCTTTTTAAATCATTATGCCCTCTAGTTTTGAACTCCCCAACCCTAGGAAAAAGACCTTTGCTATTTGCCTTATCTATGCCCCCTCATGATTTTATAAACGTCTGTAAGAGCACCCCTCAACCTCCCATGCTCCAGTGAAAAAAGTCGCAGCTTCTCCTTATGACTCAAATCCTCCAGTCCTGGTAACATACTTGTCAATGTTTTCTGCACCCTCTCCAATTTAATAATATCCTTCATAGAGTAGGGCAACCAGAACTGTACACAGTGCTCCAAATGTGGCCTCACCAACATACTGTACAACCATAAGATAACATCCCAAATCCTATCCTCAGTGGTCTGGGCAATATTTTAAACACAAATTAAATCTGATCCAGATTTGAAAACAAATCTGGAATTTTACTTCTCAAACTTGACCATTCAGTTTGCTGTCTAAAATTGTACAACAGGATGTGCATCATGGCAATGGAACACAACAGGCTTTCTACAGTGACCCCAACGTGTTGTACATTTCATTGCATCGCTACGATGATGGCAACTTCTTCCCTGGCAGTGGAGCCCCAGATGAGGCAAGTAATTCAGATTGCAGCTAATGTTTTATATCAAAGGAAGTCTCAACTCAATGTCCTTTAAGGGTAAGACATGAATCATAAAGTCTAAAAAAAATTAATTTAATTTTACATATACATTTCATTTTAATTGAATTTCTTGATAATTGAGTAATAGAGAAAACATGACAGCATATATTTTTTAAATTGTTATAAGTGCAATCATATTGACTATCCTATTAAGGAATGTTCTAGTTCTGCTCTGTTTAGAATGAGTGACTTTTTACAACTTTTAAAGATGTATTCTTTGAGACTGTTTCTAAATTGTATAAAAATACTATTCTTTTATAAAGTAAGTGTGTGTATGTTTTATACTGAATCATTATGTAGCATAACAGAACAAAATATTTGCAATAATGACAAATAGACATGGTATCGGGTATAAAGCACATCATTTGTAAGTAATCTCAATTCCAATGTTGTTTGGGATAGTAATATAATTTAATCATTTAAAATTGAATTTAAAATAGAAAGGCATTTTCTTTGTTTAAAGTGTTCCTGGTTTTTGGGCTTCAGGTTGGGACCGGTGCAGGAGTCGGATTTAACCTCAACATGGCCTGGACTGGAGGTCTGGATCCACCAATGGGAGATGCTGAATATTTGACTGCATTTAGGTGGGACTTCAAAATATTCAGTAATGTCAATAAAGGTTGTGACAGCGTTGTTAAATATGTTTGATTTAATGAGTAATTTCAAAGGGAATCTTAAATAATTCTTTTTTTTTCATGTATTTCATGCAGAAGTTAAAGAACAGTCAAAATGCAATAATTAGGGGTTAACAGTCCAATACTAAATGAAGTGTGATTTTTTTTTTCTTTTAAAAGTCGTTCTGGAATAATTGGATTCAATAGCATTAAAGTACTTCCTCTCAACTAAAAGACTTAGCTTAAAATTCTCATTCCTAACATTCTCAGTCAGGTTGTTTTAGGGCAAAACCTTACTGTCACTGACTAGGTCAAAAGTCACCTAAGAAGAAACCTCAGTATGGTTGTAGAAATTCTATGGAATCATAGAATGGCATATGAGGCCGCTCAACCCATCATGCCTGTCCCAACCAAAAAGAACCAGCCTAGGCCTATTTTCCAGCTCTTGGTCCACTACTTTGTACAATAGAGTAAGTCAAGTGCATATTCAAGTACCTATTAATTACAGTGGAGATTTCTGCCTCAACAGCCCTCTAATCTTTCTATCAATCACTTTAAATCTATGCCCTTGATAATTGTCATCTCTGGCAAAAGAAATAGATCCTTTCTGTTCACTCCATCTAGGTCCCACATAATTTTATTCACCTCAATTAATTCTCCTCTCAGCCTCCTCTGTTCCAAATCAATCAACCCCAACATATCCAGTCTTTTTTTGTCGAGCTAAAAATTTCCAGTCCCGATAACACCCATAAATCACCCTCTGTATACACTCGAATGCAGTCCCACCCTTCCGGTAATATGGTGATCAGGCCTGAGGCAGTACTGTTGCTGTGATCTACTGTTTTTACATAGTGAAATTCAAGCATAACTTCCATGCTTTTATGCTCTGCCTCCGAGCAAGTAAAGAAAAACATCAGTACGACTTTTGACCGTCTTATCTATCTAACCTACTTCTTTAAGGCTTCCATGGACATGTGCTTCAAGGTTCCTCTCATCAATGTCCTACCATTTATTGTGTATTCCCTTGTCTTTTTTCCCCTCTCCAAATAAAGAACATCACACATCTCTGGATTAAATTCCATTTTCCTCTTTTCTGCCCACTTGACCATTCCATTGGTATGTTTCTCCTGTTCACAACTTTCTTCCACACAATCAACCGTGTAGCCAATTGTCAATTTCATAGAATCCATTTCGTAGAATTTCATAGAATCTCTACAGTGTGGAAACAAGCCCTTCAGCCCAACAAGTCCACACCGACCCTCAGACCCATCCCCTAATCTACACATCCGTGAACACTATGAGCAATTTAGCATGGCCAATCCACCTAGCCTGCACATCTTCGGACTGTGGGAGGAAACCGGAGCACCCGGAGGAAACCCATGCAGACACAGGGAGAATGTGCAAACTCCACACAGATTGGAATTGAACCTGGGTCCCTGGCGCTGTGAGGCAGCAGTGCTAACTACTGAGCCACCGTGCCGCCCCCATTGCCGAATGCTGAATGCTTTGCAAAAAGTCTTAATCCTGGCCCCTATGTTTAGGTCTAAGTTATCAATATACATGACAAAATGCAAGGGACTTCTGCAGAATCCCATGGGAAACAACCTTTAAGTCACAAAAGTATCCAATGGAATCAAAGGGTGAGGCGAAGGCTGAACATCAGGAGGCAGAAGAAGAGACTTGTAAAGCTGCCAAAGTTGTCATGAAATCTGAGGATTGGGAGGATTTTATAATTCAACAAAGGAAGAAACAGGCATTAAATAAATGTTTTATATATGCCTGTGAGAAACAAATAAAAAAAAAACTGCAGAATTTAAAGGGACCAAAAACCAACAAATTCCTTGGACCCAATGCCCTACATCCTAGGATTTTAAGAAAGGTGGTGACAAAAATAGTGACTGCAACGGTTTTAATTTTTGTGAGCTCGTGATTTTAGGATGATCCCTGCAGTTTGGTAGTTAGCAAACATAATATACAGAGAACAGTTAATAAAAGCATGTGGTATCCTAGGCTTTAAGAATTGAGGCAATAGCGTACAGGAGTAAGGGGGTTGTGCTGAACTTGTATAAGACAGTAGCTAGACCTCGACTGGAGTATTACGTACAGTTCTGGGAGCCGCATTATAAGGAAAGGATGTAAATGCATTGGAAAGAGTGCAGAAGAGGTTTACAAGAATGGTTCCAGGAATGAGAAACTTCAGTTATGAAGGTAGTCCCAGTTTCTCCAATCTGTTTCCCTTGGAGAGGAGAAAGCTAAAATGGAGATGTTTGGTACAAGCTTTCTAAAGTATGAAAGGTCTGAACAGAATAGATAGGGAAAAACTGTTCACTGTCATAAAGAAGCAAAAACAAGGGAGCCCAAGTACAAGGTAATTTGCAAACACATGCAAATATGATGTGATTAAAAAAAACTTTTTCACATAGTGAGTAGCTCGGGTTTAAAATGCACTGGCTAGACATATTGTGGAGCCACATTCCATTGAGGCATTGGTGAATGAAAACTAAAGTAGAAACAACATTCAGGGCTAGTGAATGGAATTGAATCATAATGTTCATTCAGAGGACTGGTGCATTCAATGAGTCAAACTGTCTCTTTCTGCAAAGTTGCAATTCTATGATAATCCAATTATTCAAGAAAAGTGGGAGAAAAAATCTGAAATATGCGGGTCAGTCAACCTAGTATCAGAAACAATACTAGAGCTATTATTAGGGATGAGGTAACATAGCATTTAGAAACTCAAGTGATTAGACAGTCAGCACTGCTTTCTAGAAGAGAAATTGTGTTTCACAAATCCTGAATTTTTTTGCTGGTGCAATGAGCAGAGTAGATGAGGGATAACCAGTGGATGTAGTGTATGGTTGATGAATAGAAACCAGAATGTAAAAATAAACAAGTAAATTTTAGATTTTCAGGCACAGTTGGATGCCACAAGGGTCAGTGGTGGGGCCTCAGCTTTTTACACTCTATTAAAGGCTTGGTTAAGAAGACTGATTACAACGTATCCAAATTTGTTGGTGATACAAGTTTGGTGGGAAAGTAAACCGTGAGGATACAAAAGTTACAAAGGAACAGAAATAGTTTAAATGTGTAACGAAATTGGCAGATGGAATACATGTGGAGAAATGTGATGTTTTCCATTTCAGCAGAAAAAATAGGAAAGCAGAATAGTTTTTACGTAGAGAGATACAGGGAACTGTTAGTGTTCAGAGGATCTGAGTATCCTTGCATGGAAATCACAGAAGTGAATTTGCAGCTTCAGCAAATAATTAAGAAGGCAAATGGTGTATTTATTACAAAGTAATTAGAATATAAGAGTAAATAAGCCTCTGTGATAGGACCTTGCTGAGTCACACCAGGAGTACTGTGCAGTTTTGATCTCCTTTCTTAAGGAAGGGTATACCTGCCTTAGAAGGAGTGCAGCAGAAGTTCACCAGACTGATAGAGTAGTCTAAATCTATATTCCCTGGAGATCGGAAGATTTGAAGTTGATTTTATTGGAGCATACAAAATTCCCAAGAAGGTAGTCAAAAAGAAAGGCGTTAACAAAGTTTTTTGTCTTGCATGCTTCAGGTGAAATGTCGGAACACCAAATTTGGAAAAATTATAACAATTTTTGTTATAACTATGACCGTTTTTGAATTTTGGCATTGTTGTATTTGTCTGTTTGAGCGCAAATTGAAAAACATCAACAGTGTGCACAGTGTTTTCTCATTTGCAGTTCATGTGATTTGAGAGATTCATGGTGCCAGACCACGATAAGTAACTTCACACATTTAATCATCTGTTCTTCACCTCATTAACTATGCAACCAAGCTCTTCGGAGCCCTTCTGTGGAATTGTATGGGAGGAGGGGTGTAAGTGCTAGCCACTGTGATAACATTCTGGTGTTTACACTGAGTTGCTAGACCGTGTGGCACAGAAAGGAAAGATCACACCCTGCTTCATAGACAGTGACGTGGACATGCTGGTGGCTGAGGTGGTGGAGGGGAGGATTGTCCATTGTCCATTTTCCAGCTGACCACCACAAGTGACCATGCCACCAGACAAAGCCAGCCTGGACCCAGTTAACAGCCCAGACTAGTGCAATGTTCAGGGTGAAGCAGGTTGCCCAGCAGTGCAGGAAAAAAGTCAGTGATCTGCAGAACTCTGAAGGGTAAGTGCCACCATCTTCTTTTTGCTACCTTGTGTTTACAGGACCATGTCTCATTCTAACTCTGTCATTGTGCCATCATCTGGCCAAGGCTTGTGGACTACAACTTTCAGTGTTGCATCATTTCTACTCAACGGCTCCCATCCTCCTCAGCCTCTTGAACTATTAACTTTTCCAGCCCTCTGCGCTTCCCGTTCACTCACTAGGGACACCCACTATCTCTTCTGCTCCTGCTGAGAGTGAATAGCCTTGACATCAGGGCTGCATTTGACCTACTGTGGCATGAAGGAGCCCTGGAAAAACTACAGTCAATGGAAATCAGGGAAAATCTCTCTCTCCTGATTGGATTCATACCTGGCATAAAGGAGATGATTGTGGTTGTTGGACATTAATCATCTCGACTCTAGGACATCGCTGCAGTAGACTCTCAGGACCATGTTCTAGGTTCAACCACCTTTAGCTGCTGAATAATTGAAAATCTCTCCATCATAAGGTCAGAAATAGTGATAATTGCTGATGATTCCACAATGTTCAGCACCATTCATGATTCCTTAGCTACTGAAGCAGTCTATTTGCAAATGCAGCAAAACCTGGACAGTACCCAGAATTAGGCTGACAAATGGCGAGTAACATTCACACCACACAAGTGCCATGTGGTATTCATATCTAACAAGGAGAAATCTAACTATTACATTTTGACATTCAATAGCATCACCATCTCTGATACCCTACTACCAGCGTTGTGGGGGCTACCATTGACCAGAAACCAAACTGAACAAGCCATATAAATACATTGGCCACAAGAGTAGGCCAGAGGATT